ATGAATCTCAGTGCAGCTTTTTTTTTCATGATTTTTGTTTCAGAGTTAAGATTATTAAAAAAAAAAAAAAAAAATTAGTAGTCATCTGCTACAATTTGCTACATTTCTGTTACAATTTGCTAAAATTTTGAAAGATTTCAATTTTAATCCTTTCAGAACTTTTGTTAACCATTGCAAATATTCAGATAAACTTTGAGGTTTATTTAACTAAAGGTGAGCCAAGTTTTCTACAGCTGTAAGACTTTTCTAATTTAAAGAATTTGATTTGAATGTTAGAACTGTTCTGCACCAGGTTTATGAAAGGAGCATTTTAATAACTGTTTTTTTCTTTGCAACAGGAAAGTCTTGGTTTACAAAAACTATACCTAACTACAATGATTTTAATTGATATACATACCAGGTATTCCGTCCCATTAAAATCATTGTTCCATTAATTATTTAATCTTCTTTTAAACTCTCAAGCATATTTCCTAAACATATGTAAAATATAAGGTCGAGATTTTTTTCAAAAAAAAAAACAAAAAAGCAATTGAAAAAAAATAGGCACACACTCTGCAGGTGTATAATAAGGATAAATTCCAATAGTTTTTTAATCTTTTCAAACATAATATATTAACAACAAATTTTATCATATTGCATATATTAAGAAATCAATATTATGTTTATTGTAGTTTCATTCTTTTTTCAATTTTTAGCCTCCATTTGTGTTTTCAAATGTTTCAAAGTATTTGAACACTTTTCTCTCCTCATCAAACATTTTTAAAAGTTGTCTCTCCTCTCCAAATATCTCTAAAAATTTTCTCTAAATATAAAAAAAATATTAGGGAAACATTAAATAATTGATAGTTTAAATTTAAAAGAAATTGAAAAATACTTATATACTGGTAATAATTTGATTACTTATAAGCATAACAATTCATTTATCTAATCTAAAGTAATAATTGGAGAGTTTTAATCTAAAGTAATATTTGGAGAGTTTTGTTTTTTTCTGATAGTTTGTAAAGGTTTATTGTTCAAAGCATTTCATTTTTATGGTTCAAGATATTTAAACTTGTTTTAGTTCAAAATCAGCTTTAAAAGAATCCTCTGGAATCTAACAATAAATAATAAAGATCAAAATACTCAAATCATATTTGAACAAATAAATGAACCTGTCATTTTGAAAAGGGTACAAGTCTTAAATTTTTCAAATTTCACTTTTTAATGCAATTTTATTTATTCAAGTGTTTTACATATTCCCTTTGAAGGAGAAACATTTTCATATGCCATAAGTCAACTTTAAATGCAAATGAAAATTAAAGTCTGTTTGAAAATGGCACAAGTCCCGGACTTATGCCTTTTTCAAGTGAAATGAAACGCAACTGTAGTGACGTAATTTCACTTTATTTGTAACAAAAATGGAAAATCGCAAACTTGCTGAAAATGCATATAGATCTAGAAAAAGAGTGTCTGGTATAAGAAAAAGTGGTAATTATAAACACGAAAAAATAAAAAAAGCCAAAATTGCTGGAGAAGCTTATAAAAACCACAAAGGAAATGATGTGGCACCAAGTCAAACGGGTGCTTCTTGCACCAAGTCAAACGGGTGCTTCTTGCACCAAGTCAAATGGGTGCTTCTTGCAGGTTTTTTGTTCTATAGAGTATGACTAGATTCGTTCTCAAATTTTTGCTTATTTACTCATGTTTTACCACCAATAATTGGAGGTAAAAAACATCTTGATATATAATTGTTATAATATTACCTCAATAATTCTATTTATTTACAGATGTAATTCAAAGTGTATGGAGCTTGTATCTGAAGACTTTATAGAAAGTACAATTCAGTTTGTTAACAAATTTGATTGTAAAAATGCCCAAGACACATACTTGCAGTCATTGATTGAAAAAAAGGAAATAGAGAGAAGACGGTTTAGATCTAAAGAACCTAAGAAAAAAGAATTTTCTTTTATTTATCACATTAAGATTAAAGGTGTGATAAGAAAAGTACGCAAGAAAGCTTTTTGCTGTATGCATGGAATTTCTATGAAACAAGTTAGACGTTTATGCATTTTATGAAAAAAAAAAAAGAGCAGCCTATAGATCACAGAGGTAAATCTCAGTGATCACGATGCAACGCATTACCTGGAGATACATTAACAAAAGTACATTAGCATATCCAAACAAAGTATGTACCTTCGTGCTGAATTATATTTAAAAATTTTTTGGCAACAAAGCCAAAGAACTGCACCTATTTTCTGATGATTGTGCAGGCCAAAACAGAAATCATGTCATAGTCTGAATACTTTTATCACTGGTAGCTGAACTAGATAGCAATATAAATGAGATACAATATTACATACCACTCATTCTTGCCAAACGATAGAATGTTTGAAACATCAAAGCGACATTCGAAAAAATCATCGGATTTACACACCAACAGAGTATGAAAATCTTATAGCTGAAGCAAGCGAAAAATTTGAAATTAGAAGGCCCAAAACTGAAGATATTATTGATGTAAAAAAATGCTGGCTAAACCATTATAAGAAACTTGTGCTACCTGTGGATTCCTATGGAAAAGGAGTACCCAAGGATAAAAAACTTACTTTTGGTTTTTCTAAAGTCTCACATTTCACATTCTCTAATACCACACCAGGTTCAGTGACAACACGTGAATCCATAGATTGCTTAGTCAATTATAATTTCTAGCTATTACAAAGAATGGGTACCCGGTCAACCTTACCATTAATTAGTACTCCTGCATATGTTGGAAAATTGCCTTTCAATGAAAAAAATATATCAGATTTGAAAAAAATATAAAAGTATATTCTATATTCAATAGAAGAGTACCAATTCAATAAAAAATATATTTCATATTCAATAGAATAGTACGTTCTATAAAAAGGTTTTTGCTTTGCCAACAACTTCAGCAAACAATGAATTCCAAGATATAAGTGATGATTACCTAATAATAAATCATTATTATTCTGATAATCTTTTTTTTTTTATATACAAAAAAGCGTTCATTCCGAAAAAGACATAAGTCCATAAATTTAAATTAGAAATATATGTGTTATATATTATTTTTTTATAACAAATAAAACTCTAAAAACTTATGTATGACTTTTATTTATCTACTTTTATCTTTAGTTTCTTTAGCACCATAGACTTTTTTTCTAATAAACTTATTTTTGTTGATCCTGAAAAGTTTGAATAAATGGATTTGTGGCCATTTCGAAATGACGGGTTCAAATCTGATAACTTCAAAAATGAATTTTCAAAAGGATGTGTTTTTGGAATATAGCTGCAGTATCCAGATTTTTGTTAGTTAAAAACCATTTACTATGTATATACATATATTATATTTACTATGTATATATATATATATGTATGTATATATATATATTAGCATATATTATCTAAAGGAGGGTACTTTTATTTGCTGTACAGAAATGAAAATTCTAATTATTAAGATGTATGAGGTGCAGTTCTGATTGAGCAATGATGCACACTCTGTTTAGCAATGTAGTGAATAAATTTTTTTATATTATTGTAGTGTCTTGAAATGAAGCCATCATTTTTATATGAAAAAGCTTGAGGATGCTTAGTCATTAAATTTTTCTCCCCACTAACAATTGCGAGGAATATTTTTAAGATCAAAGTAATATTGTAGTGCATTTCCTTGTTTAAAAGAAAACCTTGCTTTTCTACCAATAAGTCGTTAACCAACTACTTGCATATTTGCTTCTTGCTAGCTGTTTATTTCTTAATATAGACTCTGGTTGGATTGAATCAATTGCAACTATTTTTTTTGTTCAATGCTTTTGTTTGTCACTTGATAATATTTTTTAACATCTTCTAACACAATTCCAGTAGAGCTTTTTATTTTTAAAACTGCGTCTTGATCTAATATTTGTTGTATGTGGTTTTTACCTCAAAAGGTGTGTCAGTTCTAAATAAGGTTGGCAACAATAAATGTTTAAGCATTTTATCTATGGGTGCTAGTTATTTTTCAAACTTTGAAATATTACATAAAAAAATGTAAATTTTGATCAAAATTTTTGTGAAAGTTATAATGGTGACTGGTGGTTGCATTTCTGATACTTTACAAAGTTGTTTTAACTTATTTAACTATTTTGCTAATTTCTCATTGCAATATTTGTCTTTAAAATTGCAAAAACCAATTACTGAACCCAAATGTGGCTTACCTTCTGTAGTTATGTTTACCAATTTACAAACTATACAGGCATTCTCTGCTAATAATGAGGACTTTACAATTAGTCATTATTTTGATTAGTTTACATAGTAGCAGTGTTTACATCCTTTGTCAGTAAGATGTTGTTATTAATTATGCAGTTTTGTAATGCTTCCACTAGCTGCAGCATCATCTGCTAACCACACCTGTTTAGCTTGTGGTTGATTTACTTGTAAATCAACCATATATCAATCATAGGTGTTCTATGATTATTTTGGTGTTACAAAAGTACCAGAGCATTGCAAGAGGATCACCCTGGGTTGTACCTTCTTAGAAGAATATTTTTTGCCCTCCTGGTATAAAGAGACTTGATAGGTTTTTGTAAGTATTTATTAAGTAAACCAAAATTATTGGGCAATGATTTGGATGTTGTGTA